AATTTTTTTTAAGAAAATGCGTTAATTCATTATTTTTTGAAGAAGAAAAATTACCATACTCGTAGAAGCATTGTGCTGGACCTTTACATTTCCAAAATATTTTTGTTTCATTCTAGATATTCACTCACAAAATAAATAAAAAATTCCTTTAAAATAACATCTGTTTCCTAAGTTTTTTTTAAAAATATTTGCAGCTTGAAATATAAAATCTGCCCTCTATTACGATTCAATTGTATAATTAATTATTATTCCAAGTGAAACAAAAACATTTTCATAGGTATGTATATATAGCGTATATAGTATACATTACTGCAAATAATAAATGAAAAATAAATTGTATGTTTATTACGGCGGCATACTATCCATACTATTATATAGAAATATAAAAGATAAACAATACCTAATAATTGCATTTTTGTTTTAATTAAATATTGTTATTAATACTATTTATTTTTTAACGATAATATCTGAACTGTAACATTATGATTAATAAGTATTTAAAAGTGGTTAGTGCTGTGAAACCTCGGTGTAACGGACACTTGCAGAATGCAGAAATTGAAAATATCAAGTCTGCTATTTCATTTTTGAAATCTTCAAGTATTTAATATAATGTATACCTATATTCAAAACTGTGTCTGTTTAAAAAACGTCACTTTATATTGGTTTCTGGTATATTGGTATTGGATATGTATAGAAGTTTCGCTGTGGTTGATTACAATAAGTGCGTAGGTATATCAAACGTATTGATAATAGCTTTCAGAAATACAGAAAATATGTCACAATGAGAGCTAATATTATTTTACTGCAGTAAGCGTAAAGCGTTTTTGTAATATTCTCTTTGGGATTACCTAGAGCGTTTTTTTTTCTCCAACAAAGACATTAAATGAACATTCACATTAAAAGGCCCTTATTTAAATCGAAACGTTTAATGATAAAAAACATTCGATCAGCTATTTCTCCATTAATCATTTGTAGTATAAATTATTATTAGTAGTAATAGTGGTATGTAGCTGTATTATACTATAATAGTAGTATATATTTTGTTTGTTATTCAGAGAATCGTACCAACTACCAATATATGTATATATAATTGAACTGTCAAGTTTTCCGGTGTTTATCGACGTAATGTCAATATTAATGATAAATTAACACAACCCCCAATACGGCTGATTGAATTATATGCGAATATTGCTGCGCACCAGTTTTAATCCGCAGCGATGCAATTAGCTGTAAAGCAATCATCTTACCACCAGTGCACGTATCTCCGGAATAAGTCCGCCGAGGTTTGCAATCGTCTTTTATTTATTCGATTATTATTCACTACAAAATAATTAAAATCCAGTACCGTGGTGAGGTACACGATTTCGGATCGGATCGAGATTTTTCGATCGGACTACACGTGCGGCCGTCGTAGTGGCTGGTCGGTGAATAATGGCAAAAGTTTGTCGGACGACTCGGACGCGCGTGCATCGATCGGCCTACCAATCTGATTGCACAAACCAATCGAGACATTTCGAGATGATCATCCACCGGACACGTGACGAGCATCGTAGGCGCGTTTGCGAGCCACCCGACAATTTATATTCAAATTATTTTGTTTCATAAAAACAAGTCACTGCGAGAAAAAAAGTCATGTCTGTAAAATTATTTAATAGGTTTTTACGTGCTCGAGGCATGGTTCGCCTTACACTATTTTAACGTACGTATTTAAACTTTACGATCCGAGAAAAGTATATAATATATAAATGTACGATTCCCGGATATCCGGATTCATATATAATATTATGATCGGATTTTCTGAATTTATATGATTATTAACTTGGATAAATATTTTATTATGTGATGTAATAACTTTATTCCGGATAAAATATATCTATATATGTACATTGTACAATCAATATTATAATAATATGCGTAAGTTACGACTACATAACAATAATAATCGAATTAAGCAATCCGGTAAATGAAAAACTGTAGGTGCTCTCAAAGTTCCGGTTTATGATTCCGAAATGCGGCAAACACTATGCACGCTCACCATTTCGCATAATAATACAATAATAATAATATTTATATATTGTCGTTGTGACGTACGCCGTTTTTGTGTTATCTCTCACACACGCATTGAACTCGTGTCTGTCCCCCGTCCGTCAACCCTTCGCCGATATCATGAGCCGTAAATCACACATTCACATACCTATATAATAGGTGCACAACACGACGACGTGTACGATAATGTACGCGATTTGTATAATATGTATTTGTGCCCGCAGAGACGATATTTTGCCACGCCCGAAAAGTCGGGCAAACGAACACGCCGTCCATTTTATTACATTATTAAAAATTATAATACTTTCGTAAACGCATTTTTATTTCTTTAACCATCTGCCCCCTACACTAACCCGTTCTCGGGAGATACCTATGTATACGACGAGTTTACGCTTTGAACGAACTCACAGAGGCATAACGATGTACACAAAATGTGTGCGAATTTTGACTAAACCGCCCGCGACAAACCCTTTGACGGCCAATAAAGTCTCATCGCTCAAAATCCTTTGGAATTAATTTCGTCACATGCGCTCCTCTCTCTCGCTCCCTTTCTTCACCCGCCATTTTATTAGATAAGTATTTGTAATTGTATACTCTATATTATAATAATAATGGTCGAGAGCTGTTCGAAAATATTTATGCGAAAATGTGAAGTGGTTTGTCGTGATTGGTAGACGAAAAAATGAGGGGGGGGGTACAGCGCGTGCAAAGTTTTCGCGAGGAAAAACTTTGAAATTGGCCGTGCACTAGAGGAATTATAGAAGTCCGCGATGCGCTTCCTATAGGTACACTTCAATGGGCATTTTTGACGTTAATTGAAATTTAATCAGTGCCGAAGCTTATATTTATGTACACAAATCTCGTCTCTTGACGGTAAATTTTTCGTTGAAAACCAGCCATATCGGCGAAAAAAAATGTAATTAATTTATAGAGAAAAAAAACGAACCCGAGCCAAAAGATAATGTAAAATTAAAACGGGTAATAAATACACGCGTGCGCGAGCTTACAGAAACTACGGTTCCTCAGACATTTTACTTCAGTAGTTCAGTCGGAATGATTTTAAAATAAAATGTTCATTTTTCGACGGTTTAATGGAAAAACACGTTCGAGCGATTTATTATTATATGTACCCGAAACGAGTAGGCGAATACATTTAACGCCATTGTTATCGCGTGTCTGCGTCTTAATTGCGTACACCGTAAACTTGTCTCTTTTCTATGTAAACTCGAAACAAACTTCAGGATAATCATATATCTATCATTCGTGTAGTAAATTTGTATTGTGAACTTTCAAGCTGGAAATAAAGAGCTAAAAAATCGATGGCGATGATGTCGCTATTTAGTGTATAATATGGAAATCCGATTATTTTATTGACTGTTGTTAAAACGGTTACATACGTCTAAGGAATCAATGTCTGTGTTTAGACTTGTATTTGTTAAAATTTAATGTACACCCATCCACTATTTGTTTTACATTAATAATGTGTACAAGTGTGTTCAACCATTTTTAAATTTATTTTTATTTTTTATTAAACCCTTTCACTTTTAGAAAAGGTATAATTATGGTTTAATTTGGTAATACTTATACCCTGTGACAAGTGAGTAGTTTTTGAAGGAAAAATAAATCTTTTGTGAACCTCAAGTGTATGAAGTTCATAAAGAATTATGTAAAAGTCAAGTCATGAGAAAATCGCCAACTGCTATTTAGTATGAGCATCGAAAAAGTATGTGCGTTTATTCGGACATCGTTTATATTTACGTAAGCGTTGAAACCTATTTTACGAAACATATAAACAATGTATTGATTGAACCAGTACACAAAATTGTTGTAAAATGAACGGATCATTAAAGTTGTATTTTACCGTAATATATTAGTTTGATTTTACAAAGTCATTAAAAGCTAATTGTTTATCCGCATACATTGATATTGATTCGTAACACTTACAGAGAACAATTACAGAAAAAAAATATCAACTAATTATGAATTGTAGTCAAACCTAAAACTATTGAGTGTAGGTAATTCTGGTTTCTTATTTATTATCCACACAAATGACATGTTTAGCTAAAGTTAACAACTTTTATAAGGTATGGATAGGAGTTATATTTTGTTTAAGTTATATTGAAAACATACTACACATCTCGACTAATCTTCAAATAACTTTAAAACTACAATTCCGTCTGTTTATTATATTGTATGTAAGTATTGTGCATCAAAATAACGGAAAATATTTCGCAATCTTATCAAGTTCAATATCGCACAAGTTACTACTACTACTTGAAAAGCATAATTAAATTAATATCTTGCTAAAAGAATGGGATTATTTTGGAAAGTGTATAGAGATCTTCCTTTAAAAATGTCTCATTGATATTTATACAGATGCAATATGGATTAAAAATGTAATCTCAACTAGAATTAATATTTAATACTTTCAGAATTAATCACTGGTATAAAAATTTTGCTGAACAATAGTATGTATTATAAATTTATAATATATTATATGGTGTCCTTTTTATTATTTTCTTTTGTAATATCTGCTACGTTTGGTGCAATATTAATTTTTACTTGTAAATTATGGTTATTTTTAGCTTTATGGGCACTTACTTCAGAAGACATAATACATACTCCGAATCATTATAAATTATAATACTAATCCGCATCTCGGAGAATTTTTATTAAAAACCACCGGTAACACTGTCTACTTTAAAAGTATGACTAAACTACGGTTTAAGTTACGACCCATAATATTTTATTTCGTTATTTGATTATAATATATTATACGATTCAATCAAAAGGATGAATAATACACTAAAAGTGATGTTACGAATGATAAATATTATATTGAAAACGTTAGCACGTTTCTAAGTTCAGATTACAATGCTGCAACTGCATATTTTTAAAAATAAAAAAACGATACATTATAATATCAAATGTCAAAAACAAATCGATATACTCACGGGTCTTGTTGATTTTTGGGCAACGGTCGCAATCGGTTTCTGTAATTTTTTCGGCTGTTTGTCGTGAGGTAGGTGATCGAAGACTTTTTTTTTAAATATGTTATTGCGTTTATCGTGTACGATTCAAAACCAAGACCATGACGTGGTGGCGTTTGGCCACGACGTACTCGACGATCTATTCTGCAGTGTTTGACGATAAAAAAATAACATGCAGTGCAAGAAGAAGTCGACGGGTGTTGGGGGGGCGCGCGTTATTAAACGATAATATTTCGGAGACGAGAGAGCAACGACGCGATCGGTGTGCGGACGGGGGCTCGATTTTCTATGTACGTATATCGACGACGGCGATTGGCGGGTTTTCGGAGGAGGATGGAAAAACGAAAAACCGAAAATCCGAAAACGAAAGTTCCAACGGGGCAAAACAAATGGGCAACTCGGCCGGGCGCGTACAACACTGCGGGTTGTGGTCGTCTCGCAGAGCTTTTGAACACTGTTGCGCGCCCGTCGCACACTCGCCGAAGCCGCTGCCGTCGCCGGAACGTTTTCACCTGCGCGCTCCCCCTTTTTATTTTTATCATCACGTTTTCCAACGATCGGCGCACTATCTGTGCGAGGCTCCGGGCACGGCCGCCGTTTTTCTTTTCCGTTATTTTCCGCAAAAATCACTCGTCGATAAACAATACATAGGTACACACAGAAATTCGTATGATAGGTATACAATGTGCGAGCGTCCGCGCTCGAGTGATTTCAATTTTTCAAAATTATTTTTGTCCTAACATTTTTGAGAAAAAAAAATCAAAGATTATCCATGTTAATTTTGTCCGAACGACGAAACAGTAATATTGCAGAATCGTGCGCTATGCGACGTATAATATTATGTTGTTGTAAAAATTTAATTAAACTTGTCGGTTTATACGTCATGATATCATTCTTATTATTTTTTTTTCTATTAAGTATTACACATATAGTTCTGGTGTGTATCCAGCTTATTATTCAGCTCTATTCCAGCTATTTAGTGGCTTTAAATATTTTGTATGTAACCTATTCGTTTCAAGACGCTGATTATAATTATGCAATACAAAATAATTCAGTATGAGCATGTGTAATGATATCATCGTGAATTGTGTATACTCAAACGATTGTCAACTATTTACGCTAATTGCTATTTATAGTATTCAACAAAGTGATAATATGAAGATTGTGTTCTTTCTTTTCGAAATCGCCTCACCGCTTTTTCGTTCTTATGTTGTCGGTTTTTTGAAAATGTTCATTAGATATTCGTTAAGTCTGAAAACCGTCGCAGTCGTACTTTTAACCGTTTATTTCCCCCCCCTCGATCCAGATCGCGTATAATTAAAGCGCGTGCTATATAATTACAATATACACTATGTATATACGTTTACGTTTTATTGCGCTTTTGATTATAATTTCACTCTCATTCAGATGTCATCAACCATTATTTTATAATTAAATCGAAACATTTACGTGGGTAGAATTGAGACTTACGAGCGATACGAAATTGAACGGGTGAATGATGATTCCGAGTGCGGGGTACGATACTGTGGAAATATAATATCCCCGAAATACCGTTTCGGTATTATTGACGTGATTTTATAATCTCTGTCTGAATTACCTCGTCGCCAATTCGGCGAAAAATGCCATTAAAAAATAATTTAGAGACAATTGGTTTTTTTTTTAAATAGTTGTAAAAAAAATACGAAATCCTATTCTGTAGATTACTTGAATAGGTAACTTAAGTTGTCCGAACGGAATTAAAGATCAACAAATACTTTCATACAATTACTATATACACTTATTATTCGTTTATTACCAAATAATTTAAATCGATCTGTACTTGAAGTTTAAACCGACTGTACAATTGCATACCTATAATTTGAATTTTATTAAAAAATCTATAACTATGCAGTATCAAAGTGGATGATGTAATAATAAGTTTTTATTATCCACTATAAAACGTGATGGTTGCTCATCGATCAATTTCTGAAAACTGTACATCAATGACATGATTACAAAGTTTTCCTGATTGAGCGAAGATTGTGGAATTCGGTTACTGCGGTTTTTTCGCATTCGATAATTCCACGTCAATCATACTAAGTTAATAACGTCATAAAGTTTTCAGATTTACCCTTATTGTTCCCGTAAATCCGTGGTTACAACTTTATTCCCTTTTTTTTGGGAAATCATTTATCTCCGCTGGGACGATTAGATTTCAATGAAACCGTATGAATTATTACCGTATGAGATGTACTCACATCTTTTATACGCAGATTTTTGCAATGCTATAAAATAGCCCTAAACAGAGTGATTCATTTATGAGTAACCACGGTCATTAATCAATAAGTGATTTCGTAATTATAAATATATTTTTCAATTTATTTCAATTCATTATAAAGATACTTTTACTAGCCTAGTTTTTATCATTACCAATTTTTTAGCTGTTTACTTTTTTGAATTACAAGCAGTTCTTTTTTTCTTAAATATGTTATATTTAAATAGAGTTTCCTCTACTGAAGTAACTCGTGTTTAATGTTTGGGCAAATGGAGTGACACATAGGGTACCCCGCAATATATTCTAAAATTTAAATTTTAAATGTATGTTACCATTCAAAAGATAAAAATTATAAAAATGAAGACTAAAAAGTAATAGTAACAATATTTTCAAGTATGTTTTGTTAAACAGTGATTAAAAATGTTGTATGATAAATATCTTAAAAATGTTTACTTTTTTCAAAATTGCGAGTATGGGCCTTGTTAAAATGTCGATATGATATCATCCAATAAACCGTACCGCTTATTACGAAATTGGCCGCTATTCAGCGATTTACGATTACACAACAACTTAACGAGGTATCTACTATTTTATGCTGTATATTTTTGTTCTCCCATTTATGTATTCAATTTAGGATCCTAAAAAATATATAGCATATAATAATAGGTAATTATTGTATATAAAATGTGTAAATTAGTATGTGTATCATATTAAACACATGCGTGCAGTGTAATGGGACCAAAATTAAGTATACAATCACGTCAATCGACATGACATAGACACGTGATTGTTATAGATGTTATAACGAGATATGTAACAAAAAAAACAGCGTTTATAGGGCTCGAAATTCGTGTTAAAACGAGCTTTGAGCCAATTATGACATTTTTTCATTTCAATTCGTTTTGATTTATCATTTTTGCACTGTGATTACGACCAATTTACACAGCCGTTGTGGTTTTATTTCGGTGCGTTTTGTACTATCTGTAATTTAGTTGACACGACGATGTGAATATGACGTATCGATACACATAATACGATTAGATCGTTTATGACTGCCGTATAGAGATCTCAATTATAATTTAATATAATACAATAATATGTCCTGTGTGCACCCCAAATACCATGTTATATTATGAAGTCATCATGGTTTCTTAATAACTTGTCGTGTGGTTTGTTTCGTCACAATACGTAAATAAAAAATTAATAGATCTAATGTACTCTCGTTGTCTACCGAATTTTCAAACTTTTGGGTATCCGAAATTCTGTGAACTATTGACTTTAAGTAGTATATAGCTATAGTCTTAATAAAATAAAAACAAAACGCTATAGCATGTTGTACTGGAAAACACATTATTTATCGATATATTGCTGCGTAAGTTATAATTGTGTTTTTCGTCGTTCACTATTATACAATTAAAACTCAATGATTTCAGACTGTTTGTTTTTTATACGTTGATTCGTAGATTTTATTCTTACTTGTATATGATTTTTTTCAAAGACTAAAATTTAAAATGTATTTATTGAGTGAATGTTAAATAACTTATATGTGTATTATACTATCCATATATAATTCCCTTTCAACCTGCACACGCGAGTATAAGTATACTATATATTAACATGATATCATATGTAGTGTATACATTTAAATAATCAACCAATTTATTGAAGTTCTTCACGTCAAGTTTTAAACTTTTTTCAACCAACAAACAATGGTGAATCGGTAGATGACAAAACTTTTTTGTGATTATCGATTCTAAACACACAATGTTTTCAAAACACTTTAATTACAAACTAAACATTTGATACGTTAATTTGTTATCAGCCGAAAGTTTTGATCAAAAATGTCTTTTCCATTGTGACGAGTAGGTATATACACTACCGCCAAACAAATATTGATGAGTTCGGGGCGTTTATAATGTAAATATTCAGCTGGCATGCCACATAAATATTATGATTCACCGGCCTATAATATTTTCTTTAGTATATTGTACAACTTTACTTCTGCGGAAAAATAACCAGGAAACTCAAAAGTCTTGACACGTCGGTTATCTCTATCGATGTATCCTTGATAATACCGCGGCTGTGTGATAATACACCTGCCGATTTTACTCGTTTGTTTTGTAATTAATCGTATTATATATTTATGATTTTGGATTTAATGGTTCGTCATCCGGACATCCGGCAGTCGGGCTGTGCAGTAACCGATGTCATTTGTTTTCGGACAGTATACTAATGACGATAATATATCACACTGTCGCATGGTGCAATGCATTACATATTTTTATGCAGTTTTGGACGATTTACAAATCTTTCAGAGCACGTTTGAAATAGTACTTTTTTCCGTTTCAAATAACCGAATAAATCGCTTCTGACTTGCTTTCAAAAGACAACCGCAAATAATAACATTGCGTTGTTCTTGAACTAGTTTTGACTGCCAATAATATCCGATTCTATATACACGGCAAGTATCGTCAATCGTATTATGTCACGAAGCAAACATAAGTGCACGAGAGTGCAATATCGTTTTCTGTTGCATTTTTTAGTATAGTTATTGGTTTATGATATGTAAAGAGTCAATTTCTGCCTATACGCTCATTTTTCTTTTAGATGCGGCGTATATCACACATTATTATTTCGTGGGGAATATATGACTTTTGAGTTTAAGTATTTCATATTTTACGTTCTTAGAGGAAATAATTCAAATCGGTGTGAAAACCACAACGAATCTACTGATTAAAACAAGTTAGCAAGGTAGTGTTCATATATAACTATCGTGTAAATGTTGGTCTTCAATTATTAGAAAATCAGTATTTATGAATTTATAATAACACTATTTATTGTATGCAGAAAATGTACATTGCTACGACATAAGAAAAATAATAATAATGTGTTTTGGGAAAGGATTTAAACTGAACATATCTCATCAAAAATGTGTGTTTCAGTTCTGTATTGAGAGATCTATACAACCCATGAATATGATATAAAAATATATCAGTGTAAAATAAATTGAATGAATTTAAATAGCTAAACATTTTTTTTTTATTTACGGTTTAGGTTTTTGTTATTCATCCATTGTTTATCGTATTATACTGTTTGTCTCAATTCACTAATATAATGAACAACCCGAGAAAAATGAAATACATTAATTTAATAAGGTACCCATTTTTAATACATTCCGAGAATCTAAATTGAACGAATAAAATGGTG